ATCCCCGCCCTCAGACCTGTGCTTGGCTGGGCCTGGTGGGATGACACACACGGTGACGTACTCCCTGCGACAGGAAGCAGCTCGGCTCTCCTCCCCTCGCCAAGGCGGGTGTTTTCTTTGCTCCAAGGTCTCGGGGAGGCCATTCAGCCGAGGCCCGAGCGGGGCCTGAGTCCCCGAGACCTGTGCCGAGTGAGAACGCCCGGGCCCAGGTTTAGAATCAAGGCCTGGGACTCTACAAGGGGCCTGGGTTTGGTTACTAGTTCATGGAGCTGATGGCAAACAAGGAAGCCAAGTACTATTATGCTCCTTGCAGGCTATTGGACGGAGAGACTCGTTCTGCGTGGGCTTTGCGTGGGCTTGCAGCGGTTCTCAACCTCTGGGTCGCGACCCCTTTGGCGGTCAAACGACCCTTTCACAGGGGTCGCCTAAGACCATCCTGCATATCAGATATTTACATGACGATTCATAACAGTAGCAACATGACAGTTATGAAAAAGCAACGAAAATAATTTTATGGTTGGGTCACAACACGAGGAACTGTATTTAAAGGGCCAGAAGGTTGAGAACCACTGGCTTAGAGCCAGAAGCTACCGGCAGCTCTCAGGGGGTGGGTTTAGGTGAGGTGGGCGGGGCTTCCTTCCTTCTCCCCTGGCCCCGCCTCCCGCTCCAGGGCCCAAGTGTGACCCCATTTGGCCAAATAAGATTCAGGTGAAGATGACTTCTAGAAATGCCCCTTCCCCCGAACTTACACCACCCCCAGCTAGATTAGAGTTAGGTTCCTGTGCTTGTCACCACACCTCCTGGCTGCTGTGGTGTGAACATCTGTCTAGGGAACTAATCTATAATCGGTCATCGATACTCTCTAGTGGCATGAAGCAGAGTGGCTGCCTGCGGCTGGGGGCAGCAGCAGGGGGAGGGCTGCCTGGCTGGGTTCGCGGGGAGATTTTTGCGGGATGACGGAAATGTTCTTTCTCGGGGGGATGCAAACATCCATGTCTTGACTTGGTGAAGACACGGCGTCCGCGCGTGTTGGAGATCATCAGACTATATACGAAATGGGTGCGTGTACCAGTATATAAATCACATGCAATTAAGCCAATTAGAAAACCTTTGAAAACATGTCTGAGCGGGGAGCCTTCGGAATTGCCAGGAAACTTCGCGCTGGCATTCCGACCCCCTGAAGCTGAGTTTTCCATGAGTCCTCGCTCTGTGAACTGCGCCGTTGTTTCCTCCGAGCCCCTCCTGGCGGCTTTCCAGCCCCACTGGCTCCAAATATGCTCTCTTGCGCTCGCACTCGGCTGTCCCGATCCGGAGGGTCTGCGTCCTGCGTGCGCGTGCATAGCTTCGGCCTGGTCAGCCCGAGTTGGGGGCGCATCTCCCTGGACCTGGCTTCTCCCCACGCACTGGGAGGTGGGGCCAGGGCGGCGCCATCTGTCCAGCCTGCCTCCAGCACGAAGCCCGGGGTTCCCGGGAAGGAGTCCTCTGGACTGAGGGAGCTGTGCTCACGCGGAAGATCTTGGGTTTTAAAATCCTGGCAGAAAAGCCAGGTTATCGCAAAACCGCGGCGGGCGGGGCATTCGAGAAAGCTGGGCAGGTGCCAGGCAGCGTGCACTCCCTCTGGGAAGATGGAGAAAGGAAGAGGCCTCGGCCTGCAGGCTGTTCGAGTGCTGCCTGTGGAACACGTGTCGGCCTCCCACCCCCCGCCAGTTGCAGATGCCTTCGAAGCCCTCCCTTTGATCTCAGTCGCGTGTGGAATCCAACAAGGATGGTCTGGGTCCTTGGGCTGTGACGGCATCACCCAGGGCCCAGCTCCCAGGGCTTTGCTGATGGGAGACACGGAGGGCAGAGGCCTGCACTTCCAGGGAAGCGAGATGGTCACGGCGGAGCCTGTGGATGGTGACTGGGCTCAGCCAGGGCCCCCCACCTGCTGGGCTGACCTTGGACCCGGAGCTCCATCTGTGAGCCTGTTGTGAAGATCAAATGAGACGTGTAGGTGGAGCTCTCAGCACAGGGCCCACTGCACATAGTAGGCCCTTGATAAATGGCAATCACTGCCTTCATCGCCTGTGCCTGGGATGGGCTGTTACGTTGGGTCCCTCCTTCCGTGGCCACCTTCTCCCTCCCCTCCTCATGCCCCAATGCCTGATCGCAGAACTCGAGGAAACAGGCACAGCAACACCGACCTTGCCCTGGATGTACCCTGCACATCCCTGGCATTGGCTGTGCCTTCTCCTCGTGTTCATTTCTGCAGAGACGGTGGTCGGAAGCACGGGGAAGCATAGAGGTCTGTCCTGACCCCAGCCCACCCTGTCCCTTTCCCCTCCCAATCCTGCATGTCCCATGGGATGGAAAATCCGGTGTGCCGAGCCGGCAGGGCCATGGGTGAACCTGCACTCAGCCCCATGTTGGGCGCCATATGTGCCGCGCCCACACGGCCAGGTTCGGTGAGCCTGAGAGGGGGTGGTGAAGGATTAAGAAAAGACAGACAAAAGAATAAAGCTGGGCACTAGGTGGGACCTGCCCTCTCTGATGGAGAGACAGCGCCACGGCTTGCAAGGCGAGTCTTTATTTTATAGCCAGATTCCACGAGGCAAAGTAAGGGCGTGGTTACAATGTTCTCACGGGTTTCGAATCTACTCAATTACATGCACCTGATCAAGCTTTGTTTACTTGCTGCACCTCCCGCAGCCCATATCACTCAGCCACGTGGGGCCACAGGTTCGGACCAATAAGGTCAAGCTTACAACCACAGCCTTTGGCTATAATTGTGCTGGGACTTGCACGTGGCTTTGCCACGAGAGGATCGTGCCCTCTCATTAGTCCCAGTCTTGAACCTGTCCAAATGCTGTAGCCGCTCTCCACAGTCGGGCTTAGTAATAACCAGAGGAGAAAGACCATCAGTCTTTCTTTGTTCTTGTAGGAATGGTGGTACCCACTCCCCACAACTCAGTTCTGTTTTCTGTGGACCAGCGAGTGTCAGGGGCGAGTGGCTAGATCCCTGGTTCCAGACAATTTCAGGGTGAACATCAGCAATGCTTGGAGCCCTTGCCTACTGCATCCACTCAACACCCAGAAAGAAGGCAGCTGGGGAGGTCACTGGGGCCCAGCTGTGCTGCCTTAGGGAGTGGGGTGGGGTGGGAGGACAGCCCATCGCCCCATCCCTGCCTGGCTCCCTGGCCTGCTTGAATAATTAAACACCAGAGGAGGGAGGAGGGAGAGGGAGGAGGGAGCCGTGAGGCCTGCGGCTGCTGCCCGGCGGTCATCCGCCCTCCATTAGCCCAGAGGTGAGGTGGTCCAGGGCGTGGGCGGGAGGTGCAGAGATGCTCCAGGGATGTGGGTGGTCACAGAGGAAGTCTTGCTCCCCAGCCGACTAGCCATCAGCACAGGAGAAGTGGCTGCCGGCTGGGAGAGGCCTAGTTCCTGGGTTCACTCCCCACCCTCCCAGGCCTGGTCCCTGCCAAGGGCAGATTCATGTTCACACCCAGGTCCTGGTCATGGGTAAGGGATGCCCACCCACCCACCCACTGGGTCTGGGCTCTGAACCTCGGCAGGTGGCCTCTCCAAGCTCCTGGGGAAGCTCCCCACAAAGGCTCAGGGCTGGAGGCCGGGGTGGGGGCTCCTGAGGAAGCGGTGAACTCCAGGCACTGAAAACCCAGGCCCCCAATGGCCCCCAATGGCCCCCAATGGCCCCCAATGGCCCCCAATGGCCCCCTCAGCCCCTTCAGGCCTGGGAGGGGTTCTGCCACAAGGAGGTGCCAGGGGAGCTTTTGGGTGGAGGGTCCTGGTCCGCTCCCTCACGTAGGTCCCAGGACCCTCCCGGCTTCTCTGAGTCCCCAGACGTGACAGACGTGGTGGCCGAACTCTGCTCTCCTCTGCTCACCATCCTCTGGGTGGCGTGGGGAAGGCACACCCCAGCTGCTGGGAGAAAGGCAGGCCCTCCCGACTGCCTTCACCTGAGGCTCTGGAACCGCACAGGGTCCTCTCTCTCTGCAGAGCAGGGCCTTGCGGGCAGGCGTGGCTGGGACTGTCGGGAGGGGAGCTTGGGAGCAATGGCCTGCAGTGGCCAGGAGGGACGAGTCCTCAAGGAAGTGCATGTGGGTAGAATGCCAGCCTCTGGCAGTGCTGCTGCCTTGCTAGGCAGTCCACTCCGTTAGCCACCCCTCCTGCCCAGAGCGTGGGCACAGCCCTCCCGCCCTCCCCTGGCTCTCCACAGAGGAGGGGCCTGCCCCGCCTGGTCTCTCCTTGGGCCTCTGCAGTGAGCAGGCTCCCCCGGAGCTTCTGCGGAGCAGCCGGGGCCCGTGCTGGACACCAGGAGCCCAAGGTGGGGGAGACCGGAGGCCAGGGGGCAGTCGGGACGCTTTTGGGCCTGGAAGCCACCTGGGAGGGACCCGGCCTATGCTGTGAAGTAGGGGGGTGCCGGGCAGAGGGCGGCTCTGCTTCATGGAGTTTGGGACGGGGAGCAGGAGAGGATGCAGCCCCACTCCAGGAGGCCTCCATGTGGACACACCATGTTCCCCACAGTCAGGGCCTGGCGCCAGGTGGGCGTGATGAAGACCGAGGCGGCGCCGAGGGGAGCAGGGCACCTGGGTGGGTGAGAGAGGGCACAGGAGGATGGTGTGGCTGAGGAGCAGAGCTCACATCCGAGGAGCGGACAGACCAGCCGGGAGAGGACATACAGTGGCTGGGGACAGAGCAGGTTGCGCTGGGGGGTGGTGCATGGAAAGGAACAAGACTGCCAGGTCGGCCGGCGTGGCGCAGGGGTTGAGCGTTGACCCATGAACCAGGAGGTCACGGTTCAATTCCCAGTCAGGGCACATGCCTGGCTGCGGGCTTGATCCCCAGTAGGGGGCATGTAGGAGGCAGCCAATCAGTGATTCTCTCTCATCACTGATGTTTCTATCTCCCTCTCCCTCTCCCTCTCCCTTCCTCTCTGAAATCAATAAAAAAATATTTTTTTTTTTTTAAAGAAAGGAACATGACCATGGATAGGACAGAGGAAGTAAGATATAAAACGTTTATTGATATACATTTATTTCATAAAACTTCCTTTGGCTACGCTGGGCCACTGTGCTTGGAGGTGGGCTGGGTGGCCAGGTGGAACCTGTGCCCACTTCCGGATGGTCTGCAGGCACCCGAGGCCCAGGGGGCGGCAGCCGGCACGCGCCGTGTGCTCCGGAAGGCTGCCGAGGCTGGCATGGTGCCAGAAAGAAGGGTGACCTTTCTGAGCTGGCTGAAGGTCCTCCTGTCCCCACCTGTCTGCTGGGACCAGAAACACACCCGTGAAAGTCACCAAGGATTCATCAAGGGGGCAGGGACATCACCTGCAGAAAGACCGAGCCACAGGCAGGCTACCCCGGACCCTCTCCGCTCACTCAGGCCTGCCACCGACACTGCCTCGAGAGGGTGGCGTGGCGAGAACAGGTGCCCCACGGGGGAGGTGCTGGTGGCCCACCGGTGCTGTGATGGCTGCGTCACTTTCAAGGGGGGCGCGCTCAGAGGGGCAGCAGGTGGACAGGGCTTGGCGGCCCCCTCCTCTCCTTCCCAGACCAGCCTGGGGTGAGGAGAGCCCCCCACTGGGGGACACTCTGTACAGTGGGTGCTGGTGCAGGAGACCCCTGGGGGAGCCTGGCAGGGCCTCAGGGCCTGTTTGCAGGCGGCTGCTGTCTCTTGGTCACTCACAGAGCCTCGAGCCCCGGGAGAAGGAGGCCGAGGGGCCGGAAGCAGACTTTCCTCCTTGTACTCGGGCACCAGGGCAGCAGCCCAGGCCCGTCCCTGACAAAGGGTCTCCGGAGGTCCCTCTGGTCCCTGCCTCCTCTCCAGGCGCCCATCTCTCAGGAGGCGTTCCCAGAGGGGCTCTGCATCTCCATGGTGACGGTGTTGGGCGTGCCGCCCCCAGCCTCGGCCAGCTCGGAGCCGTCTCGCAGGGCGCGCTGGAAGACCACTCTGAGCGGCTCCCACAGCCGCTGCGACTTGTCCCTCCCGGCCAGGAAGTAGACGACGGGCTTGGCGCTGCTGTTGATGCAGATGCACAGGTCGGTGACGTACTCGGGGAAGGGGGCTGGGATCCCGAAGGCCCAGAAGAGGAACCAGTCGATCCCCAGGTAGATGGAGGACACAAGGAAGACCGAGACCACGGCCAGGATGACGTGGTTGAGCTTGGAGGAGCGCTGGCGCCGCCGGGCCCGGCATTCCACGTGCACGATGAGTGCCAGGCAGGGCAGCACCATGAGCGGGCAGAAGATCAGGAAGAGCAGGATGCCCAGGAAGATGTCCATGTGCGTGCAGGCCGCCCTGGAGTCCTGGCGGCTCAGGAACACGCAGAAGTAGTTGTGGATGCCGGTGACCAGGAGCGACAGGGCCCAGAGCAGGGCACACACCACCGCCGACAGGCGCTTGGGCCGCTGCCGCCAGTACCAGGCGGGAAAGACGACCGACAGGCAGCGCTCGGAGCTGATGGCTGGCAGGAGGCTCACGCCGGCGAGGAACGAGCAGAGCCCCAGGATCCTGGACACGGCCCGGACGTACTGGGAAAAGGTGCTCAGGAAGTCGCCGGTGTTCAGGATGGAGAGCACGGCCTTGCTGGAGAGGTAGCCCACGTCGGCGCCCGCCAGGTGCAGGAAGTAGACGGAGAAGGGGCTCCTCTTGATGGAGAAGCCGAAGACCCAGAGCACCAGCCCGTTGCCCACCAGGCCGCACAGGCAGAGCAGCAGGAAGATGTAGTTCACGACGGGCGGCGGCGGCACCGTGGCGATCTGCTCGATGGTCAGGAAGCCGCGGCTGTGGAACTCCGGGGCCCCGAGCACGCCCGGATACATCTGCACGGGCACAGAGGGGAGACTCCGGTGAGGCCAGCCGCGGGGCCCACCCCGCCCCGCACTTGCGTCCGGGTGTGCTGGTCCTCACTACGGACTCTCACCGGAGCAGACAACACCCCTGATTCCACCCAGCGCCTCCACTCTGTGACCCAGGTCTGGAGCTAGCCGCCTTCGGGTGACAAGGGACATGCCCATCACTCACAGGGCACCGGGTCGGCCGCCCACCTGCCAGGACAGACACCGGACAAAGCACGTCCACGCGTGCAGGGGAGAGAGAAGCCGAGGAGACTTTCCTGACGGGAGGAGACGAAAGAGACAGGGACAGGAAATGCAGGGCCGGGTCCGAGCCTGTGAGGGGTCTGACCCGCCGCCCAGGCTGTTCCTGGCACGGCTGCGGAGAGGCGGGGGCACCTGCACCCATGACGGCCCTGCATCGCTGGGAGAGTGGGCGGCGCTACGTAGGGGACTGTCCTGTCCTTCGAAGATGCAGGCTCTCTGGGGGCAAAGGGGCTCGGTGTCTGCGATTCACTTGCAAACAGTCTGGGAGAAAAAGCGTAGCAAGAGATAGGGACAGGGATGGAGAGAGAGCTCATTGGAGCAAGGCCCGCAGTGAACTGCTGGAGGGTGTGTGCCGTGGCCGTCCTGCTCTCCCAGGTTTTCTGTGCACCTGCACTATTTCACACTAAAATGTGAAAATATTTATTAAAAAATAAAACCGTGGACGTGCAAATGACAAAAAGAGTGGGCCTGGCTCACGGTGGGATCAGAGACCTGGGGAGTCAGAGGCGGCCCCTGCAGGGCCAGGGGACCTCTGGGGTCTGGATGGTGGGGGGCGGGGGGCCTGGGGGTCCCTGGGGAGGGGGGTGCTGAGGCAGCAGGTATTTGTCAGGCCCCAGGGAAGCACTTTAACTATTGATCAGCATGTTAACAGTGGATCTGACCGCTCAGCTGTGTCCAGCGAACGTCAGCCTGGCTGCAGGGTCTGGGCTGGCCTGTATGTGCGTGAGGTGGGCCAGGTGCAGGAGGAGTGGGGGCGCGGAGGCACACTGCAGAGCTCCCCCCTGAGCACGTGGGCAGCCGCTGGGCTCCAGCCCGCCAGCCTTCCCCGTCGCCAGAGGAGCCAGAGCTCTGGATGGTAATGAGCTCCTCCTGATCTTTAAATGTTCACGTTTAAAACACACTGTGGGGCCGCCCACAACACGTCTGCACGCCGGATGCCGTGCTCAGGCTGCCGGTTCTGACCTTGACCTCGCACCCCAGAGGCTGCCCGGCACTGTCACTCCCGTCCCACGCCCGGGCAGGCATCACTAATCCATCTCAGAGTCTTCACCACACAGCCGGCTGGAACCTGGCCATGGAGGGTGTTGGCCAAACTTTGGGGAGCCTTCGTGAGGTCACTTTAAGCGGGTCCTGTTCTCCACCTATCCTCCTATAAGTACATTTATGGCTCCACATCTGTCTGTCAGCCCCAAGCCCCTCGCTTGCTCTTTATTCAGCCTTTCCTGCTGGTGGCCTTGACCACTCCAGGCCCGAGTAGCCTCCTGCCAGCCTCCTCTGAGCCGGGGGCGGACCTAGTAATTCCTGAGGCCGGGGCCTGAATGAGCCCCTGGAGCAGTGGTTCTCAACCTTCTGGCCCTTTAAATACAGTTCCTCATGTTGTGACCCGACCATAAAATTATTTTCGTTGCTACTTCATAACTGTGATGTTGCTACTGTTAGGAATCGTCATGTAAATATCTGATATGCAGGATGGTCTTAGGCGACCCCTGTGAAAGGGTCGTTCGACCTCCAAGGGGGTCGCGACCCACAGGTTGAGAACCGTTGCCCTGGAGGACCGGCCTGGACACCGGGAGGGGACTGGCGGCAGGGGCTGTGTCAGACGGAGCGGACCACGGGCTGGAAAAAGCCTGCAATCCGGTCCTGGAGTCAGAGCGGGAGGCCCGGGTGAGTCACTGGGTGGGGAGCTGCCATCCCCAGACACATGCCGCCTGTAAAATGCCCGCCCTGGAGCCGGGCCCCCTCCCCGCCCTGCCTTTTCTCGGGGTTTTCTGGAGGCTCCGCCCAGCCAAGCCCATCTCTGCTCCCCCGTGGCTGCCGCTCCACGTGGTCACTGCCAGAGGAGGGAAATGCCAGGGGCTGGAGGTCAGGGCCCTGGGCCGGCGTCCCGGCTCTGCCCCCACCTCCGGGCTCACCCCGCCAAGCCTCTGCGCTCGCGGGAGCCTGTCTCCTCCCGGGGAAAGGCGGCACTAGGTGAGCTCGGAGTTTCTTCCACCGTGAGCCAGTGTTCAAGGGCTCTGGGAAGAAGGGGTCCCGGGTGGGGTGGGGGCTGTCGGTCTCAGCCACCGCTGGTGTCTGAAGACAGGAGGCAGGTGTGACTAAGACCCCTGCCGTGGGCGGCATGAGCAGGGTGATTCAGAGCCGGCCTCTCAGGGTGGCCGTGGGAGGTGGCCAAACGCCCATCTCCACAGGGAAGAGCTGGAAGGAGGTCTCTGGGTTGGTGACTGATGCCCCCCCCTGTGCTGGCCTCTCCAAGGAGCACCCCGGGATCCGAGGGACCCAGCGACCAGTGCCAGGCCGTGTGGCCAGAGCGGCCCTGCTGCCCCCCTGCGCCCTGTGGAGCAGAGCGGGTGGAGGCGGGGAGATGCTGGGCGGGTCTGCCCCTCCCACCACACCTGTCCCACAGACCGGGGGCGTGGCGGGCCTTGGGCACTTGCCTTGTTCCTGTGGGTGGGATGGGTCTCCCAGGAGCCGTTCGCAGCCATCTCCGGGCCCGATTCCTCGCGGCTCTGCTCACAGCTCACTGGCCGGCGCACCCCACCTGCAAAGGCAGGAAGGGCCACATCAGGGCAGCAGGGTTCCCTGTCCCTTCCCAGGCCCTGTCCCCAGGGCCTCACCGTAGAGGAGAGGTGACAAGCAATCTCCTGGCTCCCTGTGAGGCAGGGCCATGTGGGAGGCACGGGGTCATTCTGCTGAGTCCAGAGCAGGTCACCTCCTGCCTGGGCCCCCCGTTCACACTTTGCTGACATGCTAGTGGGGCCCACACATACTTCCTGGTACCGCCTCTGTGCTCAGCCCATGGTGGGACACGGGTTCCCTGAAGTCAGACCCAGAAGGCAGGGAGGCTTCCTGGAGGAGGCGGCCTTTGGCTGGGCCTGTGTTTGTAACATGCTAAGGGGTCTGGTCTTTCCCTTGAAGGTAGGACAGCTCGGTCATCACCATCAAACCCTCTGTCAATGACGGCCAGCTGGGAGCCGAGTACTGTGCCAGCTCCACATCCATCATCCTGTTTGTCCTTGTTTTTTTTAAAAAAATATATATATTTTTTGCTTTCAGAGAGGAAGGGAGAGGGAGAGAGAGAAACATCAATGATGAGAGCCATTGATCAGCTGCCTCCTACACACCCCCCACCAGGGACCCAGCTTGCAACCCAGGCATGTGCCCTTGACCGGAATCGAACCTGGGACCCTTCAGTCCACAGGCCGACACTCTATCCACTGAACCAAACCAGCCAGGGTCCGTTTGTCCTTGTGACCAGCTATGAGGCAGGTATTGTCATTCCCCTTTGATGGGGTTATGGGGCTCCGGGGGGTGAGGTCGCCTGCCCCCGGGCACGGGCCACTGCCACTGCATGTGCTGTGGCTTTGCAGGCTCGTGGTCAGGACTCCAGCAGCCATGAAGGCAGGAGCAGTCAGAGGGAGCAAGCCAGCAGGCCTCTGCCATGGCCCAGGCTCCAGGCTGGTGGAAGGGCAGCTGGACCCAGCCAGGCAGGTCTGGGGGGCCTGGGAGGGGCGGCAGTCTTGGGAGGGGGCTTCCCTGCCAGAGACAGGTCCCCCAAGCAGAGCAGAGCTCATTGGCCCGCCTGATCCAGGTCCCCACCTGAGCTCTGCCTCCACAGGCCAGCACCTAGTCCTACTGTGCAGGTGGGGAAACTGAGGCTGTGTGCGGAGGAAGGGTCTTGCAGGGGCACAGGCGCGGCCGAAGGCTAGGCCTCTCCTCAGCTGGAGGGAGCGCAGACAGCTCTACTCCCCCGGAATTCCTTCCTCTGCAGGCTGGGCAGCCCCCTCCACGCCCCCGCCAGGCCGGGGCGGAGGCCCCTGCAGCAGCCAAGCCCATTATTGGCTGGAAAGGGTGGCTGTCTGTGTGGGTTGCCACCCTTTCTTAACCCTTGGTAGCCCCCACCACCCCCAGCCCGCGGTGCCAGTGCAGCCCTCAGAACACGAGGCCACATGTGGTTGGGCCAAGCGGCCCTGGACAGCAGCCGGTACAGCGTGGTGGCCGAGCGGGTGCCCCAGAGAGGTTACTTGCAGGGGTGGGTGGGAGTCCTGTGGGCGAGTCCTTGATGTGCATGTGGTGTGGGTTTGCAGATGGCAGTGCAAGGAGGTGTGCTGCTTAACCCGTCCCCCCCCCCCCCCCCCAACACACACACCTCTCCAGTCTTGACTCTAGTTGGGCCACTGTTCCCATCACCAGGGGTAGGCTGCGTGCCTCGCCACTGACTGGGCTTGCCCAAGCTCTCCATGCCAGCCTGCAACCCCAACCTCCCCGCCTCCCCATCCTTCACACCCCCTGCACTGCGCCCTCGCTTCTCAGTGCTTGGACCAGGGATGTCCTGAGGCTAGAGAGCCCTGCCCTTTCACCAAGGCAGGTAAGACCCCCAACACACAGGGCCCCCAAGGGCAGCCGGCTGGGACCCACGCATGGTGCCTGGCGTGTGCGGGGCCTGGATGGGCCTCGAGCCCCCCTCTGCTGACTGACGGAGGGGTGGGTGCCGTGTGTGTCTGAGCCCTCAGAGAAGAGCTGTTGCACTCACACAGAGGGACCAGAGGCCGAGTGGGCCCCAGATGGGCCCTAGAAGGACATGTGTGCAGCATGTGCATGGGACGTGTGTGAGTGCGTGTGAATGTGTGTGCTCCTCAGGTTGGGATCGGGCCTACGAGAGCTAAAGCAGACAGAAAAACAAACACCCCCCCCCCCAAACCCCAAACTGCCAGCTCAGCTCACTCCCGACCCTCCTTTCAAAACCCAACACCCAAGGAGAGGCCCCTGACCACCTACCTGTCTGCCTCCTCAGCCTCAGGAAGCTCTCAGCTCCTCCCACCCCCACTCACCTCCGCAGCCCCAAACCCATGCGGGCCCCAGGCGAGGCTGTCCTCCAGGAGGCCCAGGTGGGAACACTAAGTTCTCCAGCCCGTCTGCCAGCCCCTCTCCTGTCCCCGGGCTGCCACCTGGGCAGGACGAGAGCCCTGGCAGTCACTCCTCCAGACGCAGAGGCCTGCCTTGTCTCACCCCAGCCTCCCCCTGCAATCCTCTGCTCACAACGTGTGTTGAAAGGCTTTTCTGGGGGAGTGGTACCTTCCAGAAAACTTCACAAACGGCCTCATCCAATGCCAACTCCACCTCAGGTGTCTCAGGCCTGGGAGAAGGGGGGACCCAGCTGTCCAGCCTCCGGTGGCTGCCAGGCTGACCCCTCTGCCCACCCCAGCGCCGGCCCCACACTGAGCCGCCTGAGCTGGGTGCCCGGGGAAGGAGGCAGAGCAGCACTGGGGTGTGCGGAGTGCGTGCGAGCAGGGAGCCCTCTCCGAGCTTGGGATGCTGCCGGCTGGGTGTTCCCTCCCCACCCTTCCAGGCGTGGACAGCTGCTGCCGAGGGTGGTGGAGGGACAGAGGGGGAGCCCACACCCACTGGCGGACAGAGCAGCGCCCTGGGGTGGAGGACAGCTTGAGGGTTGGGAGTTGCCAGAACACCAGGGCCAGCCCCACAGAAGGGGGACTCTCGAAGGTCCCCAGTGTCCCTGGGACTTCTGGAGCCTTGAGAGTTCGGGGTTGGTGACAACCCTCTCTGGGGTCTCAGGGCTCCTGCTCGGGGCTGTGGTTTCTGGGAGCTGCCTGCCCCAAAGGTGCCCACCTCATCCCCCTTCCCTGCTTGGCCTTCGCCTTGCAGTGTGGGTTTGCAGATGGCAGTACCTGGTTCCCGGACCTCCCTCCCCTGGGCCCCATGGAGCTACCTGCAGCTGTCCGGACCCTCCAGGCCGCCCCTTTGTGGAGGGCGCTTCGGTGATGCCCGCCTCCGGCTGCGATCCCCGAGGCGGCAGGCCAGTGTGGAGCGGGGCTGGAGCCTCAGCAAACGAAAGCCCAGAGTGTGGAGAGCCCGCGCCTGCTGCTGGGGAGATGGCTTTGGAAGCAGAACCCGCCCCAAACCCAATTCCAGGCCCGGCAGGAGGGGAGGGAGGGGGGAGGAGGAGGGGCGGAGCGGGATGAGGCTTGGGGAAGGAATGCCCTGCTCAGGAGCCCCCCCCACCCAGAGCCCCACTGGGAACTCATCTCTCTGCCTGGTGACGTCAAGTTGGCCCGAGCACTGTGGCCAGAGTCCAGCTGTTAATCTCCCGCGCATCCTAGAGAGAGGGGCGTTCGCTGTCCACTTGCGGGTGCCTTCCCTCGGCAGCTCCCACTGGGCCTTCTGGGGGCACAGGTCCAGGAGGGGGGCCCCCACTGGTTGTTCCAATGTACTGAGGGGCTGATATGGAGACGCCAGGAGACAGACAGCAGGCAAGGGCTCCGTGGAGGGGGAGGTGCAGGCGTGTGAGAGGTAGGCTTGGCAGGGGACAGGGAGGCCACCCAGGTGGCACTGCTCTCCCCCCCCCCCCCCCGCGCCTCCCCTCCCGACCCCGGAATCTGCCCAGGGCCCCCGGGGGCCCGTGGAACCAGGAATTCCCTTCTCCCAGCCCTAATAGCAATCAGATGGCCCAAGTGGAAAATCACTGTGCTTGCCTGGGCTGAGCCGGGAACTGGCGGCTGTGGGTGCCTGGTGTGTGTGCTGTTCGCGGGGAGGATGAGTCAACCTCGACTCCCCCCCACGAGCACCACGGGGTCCTGGGGCCCCGAGCCAGAGCCTGGGGGATGCAGGCGCCCCAGCGGGGCAGGGAGGAGTGGCTTCCCAGCGAGCCCCTTGGGAAGGGCCCTCCTGCCCTGGTCCAACTTTCTCATGGCCAGGGAGCTGAGGGAATTCCAACCAGTGTTTCCCCGAGAGGAGCCCAGCGGTGCCCAGATCATGTGTAGGTGCCTCTGTGGGCGTCTTGAAGGGAGCCTGGAAATAGAGCTCCCCCTGCACCTGCCTGGGGCTGCAGGCCTCTGTCCTGGAGGAAGCGGGTGTCCCTGCCCCAGTGCAATCCTCCCCGGGAGGAGGGAGGGGGGTGCTCCCGGCGAGCCCAGCTGGCCTGGGGCGGGGCAGAAGGAGGCTCCAGGATGCGGAAGCTCAGGCCACGCCTGGGATGAGAGGCTGGGCAGGCAGCGGGCAGCGGGACCCCCCCCCCCCCGCCCCCCACTCCCCAGGGCAGGCCAGCTGGGGCCCAGCTGGGCCACTTGTTTATGTGGGGAGGCCAAGGGGAGGTGGGGGAGGCGGGAGGAGACCGAGTCCAGGCAAGTTCCAAGTGTAATTGCATTTGGACACTTAAAAGGAATTGTGTGAAGTGGGCAGTGGCTCCGAGGTCCGCCGCCTTATTTGGTGTGGAAATTGGTTTCCTTTAAAACTAATGAGAGGTGCCTGTGAGTGGGGCAGCCGTCCCCTGCCCGGGTTTGCTGCTGCTGCCACCCGGGGTCCCATGCCGGAGGCTGGGCTCCTGTGGCGGCTTCAGTGCTGGGCGGTCCTGGGCCTCGGGGTCCTCTCCTGTCGGGTGGAGGAGAAACGACCCACAGAGTTGCAATGAGGAAGGGGTCGGATCCAGGCAGCACAGCGCTGTGGGCACCCAGAAAGGCTCTGCTCAGGAACTTTGTTTTTAATCGCCCCCCACCATGGGCCTCACAGATGGACTCTGTGGTCCCACAGCACACCCCACGCCCCCTCAGGCCAGGACCCTCCTCTGCTGGGGGTTCCTGGGGGCAGGAGGTTCTGGGCAGGGCTGTCTGCTGCCAGACCTGGCCCCTGCAGGACGGTGGCCGTGGAGCAGAGCCTCTGCCGGCTCCTCTCCACTGTGGAAGCCAGAGCACCTGTGGGGCGCCAGGCACTGCACTGTAGGCGGATGACCCCGCTGAAGGCGAGCGGAGAGGCAGACCAGAGCCAGATGATCCGCATACGTGTAAAACCACACCTGGACAGCCAGCACCACGGCCAGGTGTGCCAGGGAGATCAGGACGGCTTCTCTGAGGAGGTGATCATGGAGCCCATGAGGAAAGCTGGGCCGGAGTGACTCGGTGAGAAGGGGAAGGAAGGCATCCGGCAGAGGAGGTGGTGTGAGCAAAGGCCCTGGGGCAGGAAGGCAGGCTGCACAGGTGAATGGCGGCTGCATGAGGCTGAGGGACGCAGACAGGGCACCGGTGGGTGAGGTGCCCAAGCTGGGCAGCTCTGATCAGCTCACTGGGTCCAGAATCTCACGCTCCTAGTTGTGTTCTCACCTCTCTGCTGCCATTTGTCCCATCTGTCGGGGGACAGGTGCAGTGATGACAGCTATAGGCCACTCACTGTGTCCTGGGAACCAGAGCCTGCATAAATGGAACCACTTAATCCTCACAACAGCCTCCCCCCCCCCCCCGACCCCACAGTTTACAGATTCATCAGGCATGTATTTACTGGGCATCTACCATGTGCCAGGCACTGTTTTAGGCCCTGGGAACCCAATGGTGAATGAAACAGATGGAGATGGGCCCGCATTCTGGAAATGAGGAAATTGAGGCCCAGGGAGTAACTGTGCGTGTCTGGAGGACCTGTGCTCAGGGGCTGGGACGGCTCTGTGTCCCCATCTCCACTGCTGGGCATGGAAACGTCAAGATGTGTGGGGAGAGCTCTGGACCCTGGGATCCAGCCTGGCTCTGCCTTTGCAAACGGAGGGAAACGGAGCCCTGGTTCCCCAGGTGTGCCGCGGAGAGGGTGGTGGGATCTGATGATACCTGTGCCCCATGCCCGTCCTCACTTTCCACTTTAGCTCTAACAGGCCGGCTCTTCTTTTTTCTCAGGAGGAGACAAGGCAAACGTGTGTGTGGTCTGGGTCTCCCAGGTCCATGCCTGAGGCCCTTTGGCTTCAACCCTTGAGATAAAAAGGTCTCTCAAGGTCTAGCGTGCTTTCCTGATGGGAAGGGTGAGTGGGACCTTCTTTTATTCTTTCCCCTGCTCTAGCCAGGCTGGAGCGTCTGTGATAGAAGCTGCATCATGGGAATCTTTGCAGAAGCCTACATTTTCCTCTTTCCCTTATGTGGGAGACTGTTCATTTGTTCATCCATTCAATATTCATCTATTATCCATCAATTATCCATCCAGCATTCATTCACCCATCCATCATCCATCATCCATCATCCATCCATCCATCCATCCATCCATCCATCTATCCATCTATACATACATACATACATACATACATTTTCCCATCTATTCATCATTTATTCATTATCCATCTATTCACCCATCCATCTATCACCCATCCATCCATCATCCATTTACCCACCCATCATCCATCATCTATCATCCATCCAACCATCATTTATTCATTCATTCTTATCTTTATTTAACACATAGTTACTGAACACCAACAATGTTGATCCTGGGGAAGAAGAGCAGGTGATAAACAGAAACAAATTAACAAATGAATTCTAACTGGGATCATTGCAGTGAGGAAGAGGAACAGGCTTGGTGATAGGACATTATATGGTGGGAGAGAGGAGGGTGTGTCATAGGCTGAATGATCTTAAAGATGTTGGTGTCTGAGTTCCAAGATCCTGAGAATATGTGACCTTCCGTGGCAAAAGGGACTTTGCAGATTTGATGACGTGAAGGATCTTGAGACGGGGAGATTATGCTGGATAATCCAGGTGGGTCCCCTATAATCCCAAGGGTCCTTATAAGAGAGAAGCAAGAGGGTCAGAGTGAGATGTGATGATGGAGGACAATCAGGGGGTCAGGCAGGAGATGTGATGCCCTAAGGAAGAGGCCAGGGGAGTGTGAGAAAGGGGCCATGAGCCAAGGATGCCAGTAGTCTTAGAGGCTGAAACAGACAAGGAAAAGGGTTCTCCCCTCGGGGCCCCAGGAGGAACCAGCCCTGCAGACACCTTGATTTTAGGCTCCATTATCTCTAGAACCACAGGAGAATACTTGTGTGTTGTTTTAAGCCACTAAGTTTGTGCTCATTTGTTACAGCAGCGATCGGAAACTCATACAGAATGGCAGATAGGCCTTTTTTTAAAATATATGTTTTATCGATTTTTTACAGAGAGGAAGGAAGAGGGATAAAGAATTAGAAACATCGATGAGAGAGAAACATCAATCAGCTGCCTCCTGCACTGCACACCTCCTACTGGGGATGTGCCCGCAACCAAGGTACATGCCCTTGACCGGAATCGAACCTGGGACCCTTCAGTCTGCAAGCAGATGCTCTATCCACTGAGCCAAACCAGTTAGGGCCAGATAGGCCTATTGATTGAGGGTGGGCTAGAGGCTACTTCTGCTTGAGCTGAGGCCTGAAAGGGGGAAGGAGAAGGAGCCAGGTACTCACTGAGCCCACAGGAAAGCATTCCAGGATAGACAGCAGCAGGTACAAAGGCCCTGAGGCGGGAAAGGTCTGTCTATCTCTATTTACTAGAGAGTTGTGTGTGTGTCATTAGGGTCCAGACAAGGTTCATTGCTGGATATGCCTCTTTCCCCTTATTTTAACCTAGGGTTCCCCTGCAGCATCCCTCCCTCCCTGCTTCCTTATTTCCCTTCCCCTTCCCTCCCTCTGCCCCAGTTGGATCTGGAAACAGACACATCACACTCCCAGGGAAATAAGGAGTTTCATAGAGGAGTGTGTGTGGGCTGGGGCAGGGGAGGATAGGAGAGCCGGTCCTTCACCAGCCTGGAGCCAAGAATCAGCACAGGAGCTGCAGAAGCCGGGGGGACTGCCCCATCTGGCCCGGAGCCCGAAGCGGGAGCTCCTGGAGAGGTCTGCAGAGCCACGGCCTCCACTTTGCTCCACCTTCCAGGCCTCCCAGGAGCCCTCCTCACAGGCAACCTCTAACCCAGT